AGGCAGGTAGCGTGCTGCGTGCAGGCCACCACGTGTTAGCTGCACTGGTTGACTGTCATGTAACCTGGATTCCAGAGCCTTCGACAGTAAATAATAAATTGAAACGTCACGAAGGCTCTGGTTCAACGGGAAGATTCTTTGATTAAACCGCGCCAATCACAAAACAGAATTAGTGGTTTTAGTACAGAATATGTACTAAAAAACACTAATTCTGTTTTGTGATTGTCGCGGTTTAATCAAAGAATCTTCCCGTTGAACCAGAGCCTTCGCGACGTTTCAATCTATTATTTACTGTCGAAGGCTCTGGAATCCAGGGTAGCTGTCATGCGAATTTATATGAATTTATTTGTCATGTGAATTTGTTGACTCAGTTAAAGTTGAGAACAATATTAAAACTCTGGTATTTTACATTTTAAAGCTTTCAAAATTGTTGTGTAAAGGCTTTGTTTTTAAGAGTTGTACGAAAGAAATGTACCATTCTGTTTCTGTCTTACTTTATATAAGTATTAATGATTCTAGTTGCCGAAATTTACTTCGGTTAATCAAGGAAATTTCAAGGAAATTTTAAAGCAAAATCAAGGAAATTTCAATGATGCGTTGTGGAAACACTGTGATGCGACTGGATACTTAGTGGAGTAAACTGGTAATTCAGTCCTAAGACTGGATCAAAATTAATTCAGTCCTTGGGCTGGATCAAAATTAATTCACCTCACTTTAAGTAGTGAGTTATTCGTATGAGATGTAATGTCAAATCCGACTGAATTCGTTCTGAATATAATACGAATGTTATCATCAAGACTTTCACAAGAATGACAACATTCACGTCCGTGTACAACACGACCGCTTATGTTGTAAATAGTACATAAAATACATAATCTAGATCAGATACCTATAAATAGTAAAATATATCGTGCACGTTTCGCTTCGTGACGTCACGGGAAAAATTAAACGCGTGCACAGAGGGCCAGCGATAGTCTGCTGATTTTTGTTGCCTGTAAAAAAGCGTCCACGTTGTTTCTTCCAGATTTCGATCAGTACCGCGGGTGTAGATGACGATATATTTTATTGATTATATTTCGCAAACTCCGGTACAGTAACGGAAGTGAACAGAAGAAAAAAGCCCAGATCACTTGATCCTCCTTACGTATAAATACGCCGGCCACGTGTGCTCCGTCGGCTTTTTTCTTTGTGCTCGCTCACACAGGTAAGTTTTGTAGTTTTTCTCAGTGTTTTTTTCTCTTTCAGTGCTATGTCTGAGTCTCACAAATCTTCACGGAAACGACATCGGACGTCGTCATCTCGCTCAGCATCAGATAGTCATCGACGAAAGAAAGAATCAAAGCGAAATAGCTCTGATCTGACCGCACACTTTCGCAAATACTTAGTGGTGTAAAAGATATGCGAGAGCAATTTGTAGCTAGGTAGGTAGGTAGGTAGGTAAAACTTTATTTAAACACGCTAACCCCTTCAATACAAATTGATTTCCAAGGGGGGCGTGGTGAAAATATTTAAAACACATAATAAACAACAAGACACGTATATACAAAGTTAAATATTTACAAACTAGTAGATCGTGACAG